AATAAAATAAAATAAAATAAAATAAAATAAAATAAAATAAAATAAAAAAGAAAAATACAGAAACTAATAAAAAAAAGTGATTTGAGTATGCAGAATTATACTATAACAAGTAATTTTTAAGCAAAAAAAAAAACAAACCCGACTTCAATTCTCAACCAAATTAGTATGGGAGCACCTCTGAAGTACCACCTTTCCTTAAAAAAAAAATATAGAAATCGTTTAACGTGGTCCAAAGTAATGCGGTAACATACATAAAAAAATACATATATGTACATATTCCGACGAATCCTTCATCCTTTTTTTAAGTCGGTTAAAAATTAATGAGGGAAAATAAAAAATTAAAATTACAAGTAAAGAAGTATAAGTTCGGGCAAATCCGCGCAGGTAACAAATATCGACATTTCAACTTTCTCTAAACTACCTTTGCATGATAAGCAGCGGTGTATTCCCGATTTCGAACGTTTTCGAAAATATGTTGAGGTGGACTTAATGATATAATTGAACCAAGTTTGTGAGAAGTCGACAAAGTGATTACCGAGATACGCCGTTGTAGTCATAAAGTGAGCGGTGCCACGCCCAATTCCTAAAAGTCTATAGCAGTCCTATTTATCGTTAAGAGATTGTTATAACTAATCGCTTGGAGTGGAGCGTCCTCAGTTATTGAAATATCGGAGTTTTCGTATTTCTTAAATTTACCGTTATACGGGAAGCGGGTGTAATTTTGGTCCGAATTGCTTTTCCGTACCAAGTTTATTAAGTGCACCGAGTTTGATAGACATTGATAAATCGGTTATCGAGATACACATTTGTGGTCATAAGTGGGTGGCGCCACGCCCATTATCCAAAATATTATAATAATCAATTGTTGGCAATACGAAAGATGAATTAATGCGATATGTGGCGCAGAAGTCGAAATATTTGAAACGTCTATTAATTAGATGAAAAGGAATAACTCCATAAAAAAAATTGTCCGATAGGTGGCGCAGGATTCGAGATATTTGGTAAACTAGTATTGATGATCCCATTCGGCTTATATGTAGAAAGTATGTTTAAAAAAAAACGTTTTTACTATAATGGAGCGTATGTTAACTGTTAACTTTAAAGCCGTTTTCTCCAGTTTATGATTTTTTGGATTGTGTCACTCGAAGCCATGAACCAACGTAATCAGTACACAAAACTTTTCCGTGATAGATATGCATTAAGCCGCGTCGGCGGCCCATATATAACCAGAAAGAATTTTTAATTAAACGCCCCTTTACTTCGTAATGATTTCGGCATCATACGAATTTCTACCTTAGGCCCGCGATAAAAACTACTTCAACCCGATTTTCTTTAAAAATCACCTAAAAAAAATTTAAAAAAAAATCACAATTTTAGCTCTGAGTATTGCGCAATATTTAAGTAAACTCTATTTAGAATAATTTGAGTTATGAATTTTTTTTTACACCGAAGTTGAGTAAAATGGGTACATTACAAAATTACAATTTTTTTAATTTTTTTGAGTATGCAGTTTTTTAGCCTGTTAAGTTTTAGTATTTAGTTTTAGTTACAAAGTGCAAGTTTTACTCTACTGCAAAAATGCGTGCGGTCTTTGTCTACCTTTTTTGTTGAATTTTAACACAAAAAATTTTCTCAATTTCGATTCCCCTGCCATTTTCTTCTTGAATCAATTTGTTATTGAATGAAAGGACACTCATTATGTGCTGACATTTAATGCCGAGCTATGTAATAAGATACAAAAAAATATACATTTAATGTTTACTTCAATAGTACGATATGAGAACAAGTGTGACGGACAATTTTATTCGATGCAGTCCTTATAGGCAGTAAATTTTAACGATATTTTTCCAAACACATTAAATAACTTAAGTTCACAGAAATTTCTTGACAAGGTTTTGAAGCTAAGGGTGCATCACTCCATACAATAAAGTAGGTACTGTTTTTCCATCGGAATTTTAAAATTTAAAATATTTTAAGGCTTCGGCCAAAATTTTGTAAAAAAAATATTAAGATTTACATCAGCTAGACCAATTTAAAAATACCTCCAAAAATTGGGGTTCTTAAACTAAAATTGGTTGTTAAAAATATTTTTTCCAAAAAAAAACATCACGTAAATCTTAATATTTTTGCATAAAAATGTTAAAAAATGTATAAACGGAAACAAAATAATAATATTCTTTATGTAGGTGAGGCGCCCTAATATACATATCTGTGAACCTTGGCACACCAACTTATCTCGAGTTTCGCCATATTTTTCGGTTTGAAAATATACACATTTGAAGTATTTTTAAACCACCTTTAAAATAAAAAAGAAAGGTCAACACGTAAAGACTTTAAGGGAATATCCCACTTATGTACATACGTATATGCATACATACATATCTATGTAAGCTTGTTAAAAAAAAGACGCATAAATATTTATAAAATATAAATAAGTGACAGACAATGTATGCTAGAATTCAATCACACAAGACTACCTTACCAAAGTTAAAAAACGTGCTATTTGGTATGATATTTTATTATTATCTCTTTGCTATATACAAACATACCTACATTTATATTTTACGCGCAAATCAGCAATTAGCAAAAAATTGGTTTTTAATTCGCTAAATATTGCTAAAATGTTTCACATTTGTTTTAACACATTTTTTCTTGTTACTAGTAGCAAAGATAAAATTAGTCTTTCTGCAAGTATGGAAATCTGCTAACGAGGAGGTCTAAGTGTTATTCATTTGTTGTTTAGCCATAAGTTTTTTAAAAATTAAACGAATTTAAAAATAATATTTTTTTGTGTTTATAACAATAAAATTTAAATCAGCAATTTAAAGAAAATTTAATAAAAAAGAATAACATAACAAAATAAGTTTCTAAAAATTAAATGAAATTAGAAAAAAGATATGTTTCTTTTTAAATAATATAATATAAACATTTAAACAAAATAAATTAAAAACTAAAACCTGAGATAAATTCCTAAAATTTAACTTAATAAACTTTTTAAAACAATAAAATTTGAAAAGTAAATTTAAAAAATTGTATTAAGAAGATAAGCAAAAATATATGTAGATAAGTTTCTAAAAATTAAGTGGAATATTTTTATTTTTGAAATAGTAAAATATTAAAATAAAATTAAAAAAAGAAAAATAAATATAAAATAAAATAAGTTTATAAAAATAATATATATATATTTTGCTTTTTAAAACAATGAAATCTAAAAAAAAATTAAAAGAAAATTAATAAAAAAAGAAAAAAATATAATTTAAATTGAAAAAAAAATCGTTTTCCTAGGACTCGAACCTCGGATCTCTCGCATGGGAAGGCAGTGCTTTTTCACACGGAAATTGCGACTGTTGGAGCAGCGGGAACGAAATGATATACAATATCTTCTGTCAAAAGAGCTTTTTATCATGAAAGGCATCTTTTTTTTTGTAAGACTTTCTTGCCAGAATAAAAAAAAAATGTTCAAACTATCTTGCCTACTGTTGTCTTTCAATTGCCTTACGAAAGACTTTCAACTATCTTAGCCAGAATTGCCCTGTTATTCGTATTTGATTATTTCGATAGTGTGAGAAAATTGTGAATTTTGAACGAACTTCCAAGTTCATTTTGTAGAACAAAATCCAACAGTGAACATGGCAAAAAACTAACACCGATTTATCTCCAAATCAAATCGGAAATACATCACATTAGCTTTGTGTTGCCTACACACGAGACAACCATTGAAGCAACGTATTAAGGCAACCTGTTTTTCTCGTTCAATACACACGAGGCAACCGACCAAACCGCACAACCAACACAAAATAAAAAAAAAAAACATTTTGATTTTCGGGTGACGGTTGCGGCAGCACGAATTTTAATGAGCAACAACTGCTACACACGAGGCATTCCCCGGTTGCTTCAACGGTCGGCTCGTGTGTAGTCAACCTTATAGTACTTTTCCAGAGGCTAGCAGACCTACAAAATTGCCTAAGTGTTTTGGAGTTTTTTCTTTATCTCCAAAGCACATTCCAACCGCCTACGAAACATAATCTGTCGAATAAAATGAAAAAAAAAATTATAAAAAATTTGTTGGAACCAAAAAAAGTCTTTACGAAGGCCCTTCAATTCACAGAGTGTGGATACGAAGCTATACTTCTGGTAGAGAAAAATACATGTCTAACTGACAATATTGTTCACGATACGCACTCGATTTGTTGATTAACTGATCTATGTTTTAAATTAACCACTTAAATGTTGGCGATTTTTCAGCATAATAAAAAATTTACCTTTGCCTAGTTTTTAGATATTGTTTTTATTGATGTAGATTATTTTTTTATTAAAAAACCACTTAAACCAAAACAAAAACACTAACAATTTTGTATACTCTTACATCTTGTTTTGCAGCCAAAAGCTGGTTTTGAGCCAGATACAGCATCACTCAGAGAGAAAGTCATTTTAAATCCGGGCGAAAAATGGCGCATTTTGAAAAATATCTCCATCATATCATTTGCATTCATGGTACAATTCACAGCGTTTCAGGTAAGTCAACGAAAAGGCATATTAATTCTCTATGAAATATATGTATGTACATATGTACATACAGTATTGGACATATCTATAGCACCCCACTTTCAAAGTGCTATTGTTTGCCACTTATGTTTAATTATTTATTTTTAAGAATTTTCAATTAAAATAGAGTTCATTCTTTAACAAAACTAATATAAAACCAACTCTAAAGCTTTTTAAAAGGCTACAAAAAACGCAACAACTTTTAACCGAAATTTCAAACATTTTTCTCGGAAGTGTTAGAATTTTTTCAAGTACGCATTTTTATAGCCCTTCAATTTCAGTCTAATAATGTGCAAGTTTCAAGTCGCTAAAAATTACTGTTTATTTTTTTTTATTTATTTTTTGTCCCATTTGCTTCCATATGACGAATAAACACAATTAAAAAAAAAATCTTAAAAAATCAACGGTAATTTTTAGATACTTGAAACCTGCACATTATTGGACTAAAATTGCTTGAGCTATAAAACTGAAATTTAGGTGGAAGTTTGTCCCGCTTTCTTGTAGTCGTTTAAAAATTATAACCCCTGCGTTTATGTGAGTTTTGTTATAGAATAAACTGTATTTTAATTGAAAATTTCTAAAACTAAATAAATAAAAATGAGTGGCAAACAATTTCAATTTGAAATGGGGGTGTTATTGTATTGGCCAATACTGTATGTACGCATTTACCTACAAACATACACAAAATCGATACATTTTATAGTAGTAAAAACAAAAATGCATAAAAAATAAAATAAATATATTCAGTCGCCAATGAAAAAGCGCACGCACTGGCCAATAGCCGCACATACATATGTACATACATACATATGTATAATTTAAAAACCAAGCATACGCACATGCAGCCATATAAACATACATACATACATACATACATACATGCATATCAAGCGCATATGTTAATACAATAAAAATTCACTTTCTCTTTGTTTTCCTACACACATTTCAATCTTTTTGTTTTTTGTTTCTTTTCAACTTTTTGTTTGTTTACGTACTTCACACAACGCTTGTCTTGTTTCCGTCAACCAGGGCACAGCCAATTTACAGTCCTCGATTAATGCCGAAGATGGCTTAGGCACTGTATCGTTGAGCGCCATTTATGCGGCGCTTGTCGTCTCATGCATCTTCCTACCCACACTTATTATACGCAAATTGACTGTAAAGTGGACGCTGGTCTTCAGTATGCTGTGCTATGCGCCGTACATCGCCTTCCAATTGTTCCCAAAGTAAGTAGTCAAGCAATGGATGTTCATGTCCATACATATTCGCATTTATCAAACTTGAATTATCTAACGCTGCACATCTTATTTATGTTCCTACATAGGTTTTACACATTGGTTCCTGCTGGTATTCTAGTCGGTTTGGGTGCCGCTCCTATGTGGGCATCTAAGGCCACCTATTTGACTCAGGTCGGTCAAGTGTATGCGAAGATAACCGAACAGGCGGTGGATGCAATTATTGTGCGATTCTTCGGTTTCTTCTTCTTGGCTTGGCAAACAGCCGAATTGTGGGGAAATCTGATTTCGAGTTTGGGTAAGTTAATATAAATAGTAATTAAGTCAAGCGTAGGTAAAAAGAAATATTAGGTGAAAAATAAGAAAACCGCTGTGCGGTAGTGGCTAAAAGTGCGCACTGACAGTCCGCAGGGTCTGGGATAGAGCACAGTTTCCAATTAACATCAAAAGCTAAAGAAAAGAAAAAGCTATTTCTAATAGCGGTCTCCCCCTCGACAGGTAATGACAAAGCTCCGAGTGTATTTCTGCCACTAAAAACAGCTCCCCTTAAAAATACAATCGCTGTTCTGAGCCACCGTAAAACTGTAGTTCCCTACCCTTTGTGTGAAAACATCAACGTACACGCCACAAATTGGAGGAGAAGTTCGGCCAAATACTAACATATTGTCTAAGCGCTAATCTATTATAACATATTATTATTTTTTAAAAGTCATAAACTCTGAAGCCGTTGTTTGAATTGATCCGCGATGTCGGCTGAATTTATCCACGATCCGCTACGACAGCTCTGTCCACATACTATGGTTTTACAGTTATTTTTTTTACATTTCTTCTTATTATTCTTATTTGGCTCTATAATCGTTCGTCGGTTTGTGCCCAGCCCAAAGCACTTCGCCAAGTGCCAGTCTCCTTTGCGAAGTGGTCTCAGTTGTATATACCCGAGTGCAGAGAGATCATGGATGCCGAGTCGAAGGATCTTTAGGTAGGTAGAGGCGGCTGCCGCCTTAGCGGCACACTTAGGCCATCGATAGAAGGCCCATTGTGTTACACACACAGTTGGCACCGTTCAATTATCCTACCTATTGAACCACTTCGTTTCGCTGATGAATCTCAGCAGGCACCCCGCATCGGTATTTGAAACCTCCCTAAGGTCGACCAGAAATGATGAACCCTGGGCATTTACACAAGAGATGTAATACTGTTTCCTCCTCTTCGTCGTCCTTGCAGCTTCTGCAACATCTACAAAAAGGCACGCCGAGCCTTTCTGCATGCTTACTTATTAGACAGTGCCCGGTTAGGGCCCCACGACATAGATATATCCTCTCTTCTAAGAGAGTATACCCTTCGTGACCGCTTCCGGTCCCATTTAGGCCAAGTCTGCCTGGAAATTCGACAAGACGTACTTTGACTCCATCTTTCTTCAGCTTGTTTGTAAAAAAATTCACTAAGTTCATCTGTCATGCAGTTTCCCTCTATGTCCCTTTGACCAGGGACCCCATTGAGGTGAAGTCTGTTCTGCTTGGCCTTCTCCTGTAGAAATAGGCGGCAGTCCAACGCAATCTTTGAGTGAAACGTGAAAGAGCTCAGAGCTTTGGTTGCAGCCTGGCTGTCACTAAAAAGAAAGGTGGCACACTAATATATACATATCAATAATTTTAAGAAATATATCGTAAAAGTTATTAAGACTCATTTTCTCGTTTCCTTTTTTGCAGTGCTTTCGAGCGGAGCTCATGGCAGTAGCGGTGACAGCAATACCACCACCTCTGAAGATTCTCTGAAACACTGC